TACCATCGTGAAAATATCCCTAAAAATGAAAAATGTCCCAGAAATGCCTTAAAATGCCAGATAAGGTGCTAAAACATGCTGCCAAGTGAATATTTTGTGTTTAAAAGTACAAAAAGTATTTTATATGAATATTTGAAAAATCACCCAAAACATGCCTTACTATAGCCTTACCATCATGAAAAAATCCATAAAAATAAAAAGTCCCCAAAATGCCTTAAAATGCAAGACTATGTCCTAAAAAAGCTTAAATTATATGAGAAACATGCAGGAAAAGAATAAATTGAAAAAATAATTTTACGTGATTTTTGTCAATTTTTCTTTAGTTTTTTTTTAAAAATGACACGAAAAGTTCACATTTTGACAGAAATTTTTATAAAACTTGTTTTATAAAAATGTTCTCAAAATGCCTTACTTTTCTGAGAAACATGCAGGAAAAGATAAAATTTAGAAAAATAATTTTACAAAAATCTTTATCAATGATTTTTAGTTTTTGAGCAAAAATGACACAAAAAGTTCAAAAAGTTCAAATTTCAAAAGATTTTATAAAAGAAAAAATTCAAAAAATGTTCTCTAAATGCCCTAATTTTACGAGAAACAGAAAAGATAAAATTTTGAAAAATAATTTTACATTTCCGTCAAACTTTGACCAAATTGACATTTTTCAAATGCTATATTTTGATGAGAAAAATTCAGAAAGGATAAAATAAAAAAATGAAAGTTTTCTATATATGTTTTTAACATTCGACCAAAAATGTAAAAAAAAAAAATACATTTTTTTTTCAATTTTTAAAAAAATCCTATATTTAGATGAGAAACATGCAAAATATATAAAATTTTGATTCTTTATTATATCCTGAAAAAGTATTTAAAAATAGGTTTCTCAAAAATGAACCATTTTATGCTTAAAATTCTGGAAAAAAAAACCCAACTTGTGCGAAGAGCAGAGATCCACAGATTGCCAAGGATTTACATATTATTATTAGTTTATTTTTAATCTATTTTCACAATAAGACATTTTAAGTTGGTGACAGTCAAAAAGACAAAGGAAGAGAACAATTACAACAACCATACACACATAATTTAAACTGCAAACCTCATATACATACAGTACAGACTGTGGAATGACAGCATCCACTCAGAATAAGAGGCTGTGGACGTCAAGTCCATAAATTAACTTAGTCAGGTAGAGTACAGACGTTTGTTCTTACAAACGCTGTTTATTTTTTCCTCTTCCTCCAATTGGATGGAGCAGATAATTATAAGTAACATGTTGCTCCAATGCCATCTATAGATGTAGAGAAGTGAGTGTAAACTTGGACTTTAAAAGAAAGAGGAGGAGGTGCAGCAGAGAAAAACCAGAGTCTTTATAGCTGTGCAGCACATACAGCGTCACGTCCCTTATAATGCACAGGAAAATAATAATACAGCAATACTTCACACAACAACGATGTGTTTACTCCATTATGGTCTGGGAATGATATCTTCATCAGCAGGACAATGTAAAAAATAAACAGGTGGATTTCTTTTACCTTCCGTCTCAGTCCAAAAACTTGCGGTTGGGGTTGGCACCGAACAGAGCCACTCGGATCTCAGGCATCATCTGAAAACAAACACAAAAACATTCTTCACAAACTGGAACTTAATGGTTGTTATTTTTCTTATCTGCCCACTCAGGTCAATCCAATTTGAACACACAGGAGGAGGAGGAGAAGAAGGAGGAGGAGGAGGCCACAGACATTGTGGCCAACTCTGACTGAAAGAGAGAGGTCATTTTATTTTTAGCCTTTTTTTTTGGATAAACCATAGCTATTTATTTTGCAAACTTTAAGCTTTTCATGGCTAACTTTTAGCTGTTTACACCATGTGGGCAAAAGTGTATCTTTATCTAAATTTCTTGGCAAACTTGAAGCTATTGCTGTAACTTCTGTACTAACCTATGTTTTGGCTGACCAGCTATTTTGCCTGCTTACTTTGTTTTATTTTTGTTTTATTATCCCATTTTTGCACAAACCTGTAACTATTTCTTGACTAAGTCTACTGAATGACTACATGTGTTATTGCATTAATGTCTTTTAGCCAGTTAGTTGCGATGCATTTATAAAATGTACTTCAATCCTGAAAACGTGTTCCAGTTGAGACTGCTGTGGTGAACTTTGACCGTCTCTCACCTGCTGTGCCATGAGGTCCAGTCTGCTCTCCAGGGTGTTGGCCACCTTGATTTTTCCGTTACTGTTATAGATCTCAATCCCTCCAGAGCTGTGAGAAAAAGACGGTTGACAAGAAGGAAGTTAGTGTGTCATTTTGACCGTGCAGGGTTTGGGTGTAATTTGAACAGTCGTAGCGCTCACATGTCTGGAGAAAGGAAGTTTTCCTGATCAATGCGGACCTCCAGGGTGTTCTTCACAGATGCCTTGTAGATGGGAATGTTCCTCTGGATGGAAGCCTACGGAACAAAACACGGAAATGTTTGAGTTTTTTAGTGTACAGCTCCTTTAAGACACTTAACAAATGTTTTTACTCATCTTACTGTTCACTCACCTGCACCAGCTGCACGTCCTGTTTGCGGCAGCGGACCGTTACTTTTTGCTCCAGAAGCTGGTAGAATCCCTGTAAGAAGAGATAATGAAAATAAGATTATTAGTTATTAGTTACTATTTAACTAACAGTGTTTGAAAAAGTGTTTCAAAGTTGAAATATTTCTGGACTGGAGAAACCGTGTGTTGAAGTAGAGCCTGACCTCATTCATTAACAGAGACTGACACTAGTTTGATGTTCTAATGTTGGCTAACACGTTAAACAACCCCCCTGGTGGACACATTAACCAAAGCATCAAAGTACTCAGACTGTTATCTGAGATTTATCTTAAGCTACACTGTGATTAATCAAATGACAAAATGTCATTGTTTGACAGCCCTTGTTTTCGTACCAGTCACTGATTACTCACCTGCAGCAGAAGTCCGTCCAACAGAGTAGGGTACCTCGCTGGATCTTTGGCGACGTTGCCGAGACGCTGGCGAGCCTCGTTGAGCATTTCCTGTAAAGTGTAAACACAGTGATTTGATCACTTTCGACACAAAGGACTATTGTGATGACTAATGTGATCCCAGCCTGGCTCGAGGGTAATGATGCTCACCGAGATCATATCATCGCGGGCCTTCAGAACTTTCAGCCGAGCCTGGTTCATCAGGTTAGACATTTGGCTGCGAGACAAACAAATAAGACACACATCAGATGGGACAGGGTTTCTGGGAAATCTTTCTTTGTTCTTGCCGTACTTAAGGAGACCCTAAAGAGTCAATGTAGCATCAGGACACAAGATTAAATTACAGGCACACGCATACAGAAATGTCTTTGTTCTTAAGACGGGACAGGAGGAAACGGCAGCGTCACGTGTCATCTGACCCTGACTCACATTTTCTTCTGCTGCTCGATCTGCTTCTCTTTCTTCTCGTAGTACTCCATTATCTTCAGCCTCTGGGTTTGCACCAGACGGCCCTTCTCAATGTTGAACTCCTCTTCTGCCTGTAGGGGGAGACACGGTTCATTTTAAAATTAACGGAAAATTGCCTCAGTGATTAAAAGTTGCTTTAAACTAGAACCAAAGATACTATTGGTTAGTGGTGATCTTCATGCATGTGTTTTTACCTTTGCGTCAATCTCTTCTGCCTTTTCATTGGCTTCCTGCTCAATGAAGGCCATCATATGCTTGATCTGCGAAACACAAAGACAAAACAGAAAATTCTGTTCAATTTCTCTTCCTTTTTTCACTGCAGCATAATTAACGGATTTCATGTGTATGTGTGTGTGTGTAAGTGCAGGCCTCTTGTTTCTGTCACTCTGCTGTGAAGTGACTGTTTCTATCGCCATGATGAGGAATTCTTTCATTTTTGGACACAGTTTCACATTAGTTTGACTTTGACACTTAATTAATAACAAAGATGTTTTCTTGATACATGTCTTAAGGCAAACAAATTCATTTTTATTCATTTTTGAGAAACTTATTTTTGAAGATGTTATCAGGAAGTTATTAGTAAAGAATGTTACTGTTGATCAAAAGTTGACGTCCCAATAAAGTAAATTTTTCCTAAATTTTGGTCATTGCTACATATTTTAAGGCAAACAGAGAGTTCAAAGTAGTTCACGTTGTCATTCTGAATTTTTGTTATGAAAAAATACTTGAAGCACCAAGTATGCATTTAATATTTAAAGTAGCGCAATAGCTACTTTCACTGGTAGCTAGTTACATTTATAGCGTATAAATCAGTTTCTAACTCAATTACTCCATAGGAAAATGATCTAGTAATTATAACTAATTCCGTTTTAAAAGTAAGGGGGCCAACAGTGCTCTCAGCAGACAGGGCTTAGAGGCTGACTCCTAATCCTACTTCCTCATCATAGGTTCATCATGTGATCTTCGGCAGAATGTGCCGCGATATCTAAGCTATACTTTCACCTCAACTAAATGAAAAATCAGCACAGAAAAACAACAAAACATTCTCCTTCATTATACTGCATTAAAACAGCTTTAATAGCTGCTGTTTATTTAGGATTATTTAACGCTAATAGCTGCTATTTCAATGTCAACCTCTTTCACACATACTGACAATGATTCGAAGAGACTTTTTTGGGACGTAAAAAGACATTAAAAAATGTGTTCAATTCCGCTAAAACGTTAGCCAATACGTCTATGGTACAACAGCCTTTTGTGAAGGTTAAATCGCTCCTTACCTGCTTCTGTACATCGGCATCGCTGAGCGCCATGGCTGCGGCTGTCTGAGATCCGCTCGGGCCTGATGGAAAAAATCCCAAATATATAGAAACCAAACACACGACAAATATCAGTGACGGTGGTTAATGTAGTGTGACATCGTAATTCTACAAAACCAGCGTTAATTTTGTGTTCATTTACCGTAGAATCGAAGAAGAAGAAGTATGAATTAAACTCCGCAGTCGTGACTCAAAGATGTCTACAACAGGACTGCTGATATGCCAGGTCACCTGACGCTCACTTCCGGAATGCGACCAATCAAAGACGAGGAGGCGGGTTTAAAAAAGAAAAAAACAACGTATATACACACAGATGTCTACAACAGATCAGCTGATCTCCCAGGTCACCTGATATTAACTTCCGCGATGCGCATATATACTGTATATACATATATATAATATATATATACACATATATACATAGTGTGACAGTGACAACAATTTTTATTTATTTGTAACAATTTAGAGAATTTTAACAGATATAAATAAGTGATGTTAACATTGTCTTGCAGTTCCCAATCCTGCCAGCAGATGATGAAAAAGTCAGTTACTCCCGGTAACTGGTTCAACACTGTATTGATCTACTCTTTAAACCACAGTCATTGAGACAGTGTTGATAAAGTGTCGAAGTCACACATTAAACTTTGACCTTGTATTTAACAGTTAAAGTCAATCAAAACAGATTCCAAAGTCACCTCTCTTCAGTTGTTATGTCCTTTATCTGAGTGAGAGAGACAGACAGAAAGAGGGAGGGAGGGAGGG